ACCAAAAATAACCAGTTAATGTTGGACCAAAGCAGGGCCAAAGACATTTTTTGTGGTGCAACCAAGAATGTGACATGTTTTTAATTCTGCTCAGATTCAGTTCAACATTTCCAAATTCTTCAACATTGAACTTTGTTGCTGATGTACCACCATGTCATTTGTGTATTCGAAGGCAACAATGTGAAACTGCAAGATCACAAAATGTTTGTATATGGACTGTTTTGGAAAGGAATGGCAGATTATATTTGATTATTTAGTTGGTAGAATTTGTTGGTTTTAAACATTAACATATTTTAAAGGGTGATTACAGATGGAAGGACTCAATCTTATTGTCTTATCACTACCAGTTGATGGTGTGTTTAACTTAGCCTATGACATTATTTTTGCCTCCAGCGCAGCTTTGTAAAGGGTAAACATTTGGCTCTGTGTGATTGACTGGCAGGGACAGAGAGCAGATGGGGTTGATCTTTGTCTCCTGCGTCGATAAACGACAGATTTAACGGCCCTTTTTCCTCGCTGCCACAGAATTATGGACATAATCAGTGTGGTGGCCGTCCAGATCAAGTCACCACTATTTCTCAGCCGCCTCCTCACACGCTGACTCATCGTCATCGACATGTCTTTGACTCATCATATTAGCATAGCTAGTTAGGTCACGTCATAGTAATAACACCGAAAGCCAATGATTAAGTGTTGAGTGAGTTTGACAGTGCATCCGCCGACTGTCTCATTTCCCTCTTCATCTTTCCATTGTTCATTCATTTGCTGACCTTTTCTCCTTGTTCCTCTTCCCATCGCCATTTTCTTTACTTTCTTTCACAATTTTTCCCTCATCTCATCTCTTCCTCTCCACTTTCACTCTACTTACTACCTCCCACTCGTTTTCATCCTCTCAGCCTTCTTCCTCTCTTTCCATCTCAATCTTATTCTTTCTGTCTCTCCCGTCTTCACTCTTTCTCACTCCCCCTCTCTCTGTCTCACCAGACATGCAACACCACTGTTGTGTTTCTCTCTAACTCAGGGAAAGCAAACTTCTCACTTTGTAGCTTAGGCAAACTGCGCAAAGTAAATAAAGTATTCAAAATACACAGAATCCACTTGTCCTTGTGTAAAAGTACAGCGTGTGTGAAGTTCTCCTGGAGTTTCAGCTTCTCCCCTGCGTTCTGCTGTGTTTTGAAGGAAGCAGAGTCCCTATGATACTTCTAAGCGTGAACGTGGGAAGGCTGAATCAATAGCGACCGCTCATGTAAACGCCATGGAAAGGCCCAGGGTGGCAAACTAAATGAGTCAAACTACAAATTGCGTCAGCATGGACATCAATAACAAGTGCACTTGGATCAATAAACAAAATAAAAAATCAATGCAACTTTCTGTCAGAAAAGCTGAAGTGCACTTTTAGTGCAACTGCTGGTGGGTATTGTGCTGAATGTTTTTTATTACATTCTCCACTGTTCTGGTGAGCCACAGCCCAGTATGCAGAGAGTTGCTGGTTTGAACTCTGCATAACCCTGAAGCTTCACTGGTGTCCATGAGTCAAAAAGGGACCTTTTTTCTTCTTCATCTTTGTTTTATCCTGCAGGCGCCTCTTTGAGCGTGTGTGTGGGTGTGTGTGTGTGTGTGTGTGTGTGTGTTCAAACAAGTCAAAAAAAAAGATCGTCTTTCAAAGGAAAGACAGTTGTAAGGATCCTATTCATGAAGTTACAGGGGGAAGAGAAACGGAACTAAATTACCCTGTGGCTAACAGTGAATGACCTAAACACACACACACACATACGCACGATACATGCATACAATATAAATACCTAACCCCCTTTTGCTTTCAGAACTGTCATAATTCTTCATTGCATATATATTCAAGGAGGTGCTGAAACATTCCTCGGAGATTTTGTTCCATATTGACATTATAACATCACGCGGTTGTTGCAGATTTTTTTGGCTGCACATCCATGAACTCATTCAAGAAACCAGTTTGAGATGATTTGAGTGTTGGGACATGGCGAGTTACCCTGCTGGAAGTAGGCATTAGAATGATTGGTACATTGTGGTTACAACGGGACAATACTGAGGCAGGTGGAGAGATGGATAATACTTTTATATTTGCAATATCCCTTAAAATAAGTAAAGTTTTGTTTCATTTCATTTATCATCTTGACATTTGGACCTTGAGAGGCAGCAATGTGCCCCAAGGCTTCCAGAGGAAATGTCGTTGCGCTTTGTGAAATGTTATTCTCTTTTGTGAAATGTGTTTTGACCCACAGGGCCTCCGTAGTAATGCTATGGTTCAGCAGTTTCAGACATACTCAAACCAACAACCATGTCACATTCAAAGTGACTTAAATAACCTTTCTTATCCATTCTAGTGCTCTGTTTGAACTGAAGCAGATCGTCCTTACCATGTCTACTTGTCTAAATGCATTGAGTTGCTGTAACGTGATTGGCTGATTAGATATTTGTGTTAATGAGCAGGTGTTCCTGAAAGTGACAAGTTATTTGGACAAATTTTGATGCTTTGGCACCATTGTTCTTGAAACTTTAACCCCATTGAATTTGTCTATAAATATGTTCTTGATGAATAGTATTGCTTTGCATTCTTAGACACTCAATAATATCAATATAGTAATATGTTGATGTGTGACATTTAATATTTGAAGCAGTTTATTATCAGCTGCTATGACTGTTTCTGTTTTAGGTTTTTGTATATCTGCAGTAGCAATGTCGAGCAGCTTTTGGCAGATCAGCATGAATTTTAAATTTGGTTGAATGATTACAACTCAGTTTTGGACATGATGTACTAGAGTGCAATGCTCCGGATGAGGATGACGGTTAATTACAAAGAAAAATATGATGAATGCAAAGCAGTGAATTAGCATTCTGTCTCTTTATGTCACTGCTCATTCTCTCTCTCTCTCTCTCTCTCTCGGTCTGTCTCTTTTCACAATATATTACAGCAACCTTTATCCTAAATGATACTCACATTTTGATTCTGATCTCATTTGATTTAATAATCACACAAGTTAATTATTTTTTTGGTGCATTTATACATCAAAGAGATGATTCATCGGTCTTCTAAGGGAGGCTTGGGTGAAAATCTTCATAGGTGTCTGCGATTCACTGCTGTCAGACAAAAGTGTTTTGTTATCTTCAAAAAGTAGGTCTAATCTTTGACGGACTTATAAATCACTGGAGTGAGTCTCAGCTTTTATTTCCTGGGGGAATCTTAAAGAAATGTAAACTAAAAGGTCACAATACCTAAATACCTAAACCATAATTTAAAACATATTACATTACTCTTAACATTGACTAAAGCCGGGCTCAGAGTACATGAGTTTTCTTTCCACAATTGGAGGAGAAATCTGTTCTGGGACCTTGTTCAGTACCGATGTGAAACCCAGACAGTCTGGTAATATGAGGGGATTACAGGTCCAGTCTTAAACCTCCCGAACTGTTCACAGTAAAACCTCACTGTAAAACATTACCACGTCTGTCTCCACTTTATTTACATCTGCATCCCCATGAAATCACGTGAGGCGGTGTGTAGTGTGTGGTGCCCCATTATCTTTACATTTTGTAGTGTGCACATTTTTACATTTTTTATTATCTTTACATTTTGTAGTGTGCACATTTTTGAGATCATGTGCATGATGCAACACAAATTCAAAATCGGTTAGGATTTAATGTCAGCTGATATTGTATGGATGTTGAATTACACGTTTACTAGTGTTTTAAAGGTTTGTTTACAAGTAGTATCTGTAGAGAAAGGGATGCAACATTCTTTAAATTATGATCATTTTTCCTCTATCTGGGTGACGTGAAGATGCCAACATGATGCGTGCTTCTTTGAAAAGAAGCAACACAAACAAGATGTTACTGTTGAAAAGACTTCCAGGCTAATTCAGTATTTTGTTTTAGTTGTAGATAGTCTACAGAATTATCCTTTAAGCTTCCCTGACTGCTCCCCATGTCAGAAATGTGTAAATCTGTTTCTTTGGCTCCTTCATCATAGTTTTTTATGAGCCAATTAATTATTTGTTAGTTGTTCCCTTGGTTGTTAATTATTTCTGCCTCAAGTGCACCCCTACTGCACGTAAATATTTGTATAACTTAAATTCCAATCAGCGCTATTCAAACTACATCACCATCTGTGTCTCTTTGTCAAGCAAAACTCTCATATCTCCATCTAAACACCCAGCTTTTCAGCCATTTCCCCCCCATGCTTGCAGTTTTCTTGGAGACTAATGTTCTATCTTTAAGTGTGTTTTTAAATGTTTGTGTCATGGTTCCAGGCCACACATCCTCAACATGAAAGACAACTGTTAAATACACCACTTGCTCGAAACAGCTATCACAACTTCTTGTTTAGAGAGAACGTCTCTGGTTAATTTATTCATTAACTGTTCCAGAGCGAGGCCCTGAATCAACACCATCGGCCCCTTTGAAGCATCACAAATGAATGTTGTAGTGGAGATACAAGGCATTTGACACTTATTACGTATTTTTAGAAAGTCTTACAATAGCCTTGAAATGTTTTATTTTTAGTACGGTCCAATCAAACAGTGTGCAGTGATGTACAGTAGGTTGCTGAAGTAGAAAAACAATTTAATTTTCCATTTTTACATGAAGCAATACATTATTTCATTCTGATGACGCCAACAAAGCCACAAAGCCACAAAGCCACAAAGCCAATGATCTATCATGAAAGGTCAATGGGTTTGGGTGTGAGTTTTGAGGTCAAGAGAAGTGCAGGAAGTCAGTTGATGTTTAGAATAATTTTTAATACAAAATTTGGTTTTGCAGCTCAGCCAGAGAATAACAACTAACGTAGCAGCGGCGAACTGTGGCCTGCGGCGAGCTGCCATGCAATGCCTATGGAGAGCTGCAGAGGCCAATGCAAGCTCAGCACTTTGCGTCCGTACAAATGAAGTCAGTACAGTTTCATGTACAGCAAATGTGCTTTCTTTAGGCGCTAATCAGAACAGGAAGTCCACTCAGAAAAGAAAGTATTCACACTGAAAGAAGTTCTTTAATTTTTCTAATTCTTTCATTTTTAGGTGTATTCGTTTGAGCAAAAGACGTCACTGCACACATTTTCTCATCACGCACTGTCCCGATAAAACAGGACAGACTGTAGGATATATTTACATTTGACACAGATCTCAAGCCTTCTCATTGAAGGGTAGAGTACTTCCATCACCGTGTTTAAAGTTGTCCGTTGTCTGTTCGCTACAGTGTTAATAGTAGAACACCACATACAATATGTTCCCGTGGAATCCTACAGCACTGCTGTCTTTCTTAGGACCTTTCATATTGATTTATAACTTGCATTTTTCAAAGTTTTTTTCTAGGAATTGAAATTGCCTCATAGGTCACAAAACTTTTTTTTTAAAGGGTATTAATATCCTGCAATTCAGGTAAAAACCAAACATTTCTACTACTGGAACAACAAGGGTTCACCGGGACTGCACTAACAACATATTTTACAGTCTTGTCAACAGTAATTGTTTGTGGGTTATTTTGCAAGAAATATAGCAATTTGATTGGTCAATGCAATGCTTCCCTCCAGAGGAATCCCATAAAGCTTGTCTTGCTTGATGCTGGTGACAGTACAAAGTCCTGCAGGATCAATGTTGTATTTAAAGAACATCCCCTTTGGTACAAATATCCTATAAAAGGGTGATTAAATACTCTGAAACAGGACTACATCGTGGTGTATTGTGGCCTCTAGGACATTCTCAGGCTGAGCATCTGTTGGCACAAACATCTAAGTTGTAGACATTTCTGGCACACTTATATAGTATCTAGTAGCAGCAGACATGTAGCAGTTAGTTTAAAAATGGCTCATTTCAATCTTAGGTCTTATGTTATCCATCATCCTTAAAAAAGGCAATACTTTTTATTTAAGTGTTATGTTAACAGTCAGTTTCCTCACATGGAGGATACTCTGGAACCATCTTTTGTTTGACAGCCATCAGGTCTGTGCCATTCAATTATTAGAACTTTGGTTGGTGCGTCTTTTTAGCTGCCGTCAACACAGATCTCCACATTTTACAGGCTGTTTATCTTTTTGACCCTCATCACAGGTTGCAGTGTTATTTTTTTGGTGGTATATTTCACAATATTACACAAGATAAAAAGCAAAATGTATGTAGCAATATGTTTTTCTACTTCCCTATACCTTGTTAATCATCTTGCAACTTCTTAGATTCATCTTTGGCCCCCTTTGGGAAGCCCTGATCACCAGCTGACACTTAAGAAAGGACAAACATCAAATGATCATGAAAACAATAAAATGCGTAGTCAGAATAGCTTCTCCACAACATTGAGAGAGTACAATTGTCACATATTATAAATCAGGAAAGACTAAATCATTTTTGAGATATAGGCTTTCAGGTTGCACCGTAAAGATCTTAGCAGCTTGGTCTGGCACCATAGTTCAGTTCCAAAATAATAAATAATAAAAGGTAAAGAAGGCTGGAACCTAAAAAAGATTGGGCTGTTGTTCACTTTGGTACTTTCATCAGTAGTTGTGATTAGTTTGATCAGATACATTTATGTGGCCACCAGAGTGTTTTCGGGCCGATCACCGAGTGGAGCAACGGAGAAGTTTTTTTTAACTCTATTACTTTCAACGGGAGGAAACATTCAGTCACACTCGTCAGCCTGTCTGAGGCTGAGATGCAGCTGACAACCGTTGAATGCGACAGGTGTGCTTCTATCTTTAATATACCGTTTAACACATCTCTCTCCTCTCTGTCTTCCTCTCTATGTGATGATAACATCACCCGAAAGCCATTTGTATGGTATGAGATGTAAAGACAAACTAGATGTTGTTCTTGCTTTTCTTTTGTGATTATCATGACTGTGCCATTGTTAACTCCCTGGTTTGTTGATTTTTAGTTCCGTCAACACATGAGCTGATATTGTGTTATTGGTAATATTTTAATATGTAGATATTGTCAACTTCACTTCTACATTAGTTTTCATTGTGAATGTATACCATTGTTGTGCTCCACAAGAGGTTTTGGATCTTCTCTGTTTTGAATGCTCTTCTGTGCCCCTGCTCATATCCACTGGCAAAACACTCTCCATAAATTCTACGCCAGGAAATGGAGCCGTGCCATGTCGGCACCGAGCCCAGAAAAGAGTACAGTTCAGCGGTCCGTAAACTTTTCAGCTCACAGCCCCCGAAGTGAGCCGATTCCTTTACTTAAAATGCTGCAGGCATGAATGTGCAGAACCATGAACTATGGCAGCAAAGGATTTTCACACGGTAATGACCGTAGAAGATAGATACGTAGCAGGAATAGTTCACTTTTTAAAGAAATTTTGTACCCATAAACAGAATCATGCGTTCCAAAGAGATGCAGAATTAGAGGGAAAAAGGTAAGAACAAAAGCTTGTGTTAGTCTAGTAGACCGTTTGTATTTTGTTCTTCAGTTTGTAACTTACAATGTGGATGAGAACTTCCCACCAATGATCAAAATCAATGCCAGCTTTCTTTTTTGATTATTTTGGCAAACTGGGTGAATCTACAGCATCGCTGTTGCAGTCCCACTTGGCGATTAAGGCTCAGATGCTGGGTGTGTTTAAGAAATCTTCCACAGAGCAGCTTTAATTAATAATTAGAAGGAGAATTAAATTCAGCAATTACAGTGTTCACACTTCCTCTGTAAAAAGAGATATTTATGAAATTGACTAACTGCCCTCGGTTGCTTCTTCTCAGTTAGTTGCGGTACAAATTCAAGTTAACAAGGACATATAATACTCGTAGTAAAAAGTCCATAACACAAAACCAATACTGCGGTGACACCTCTTTGCTACTAGTCTCTGTACACAATAATAATCCAAAAAAATGGTAGAAATAGGACTAAGCATGTCCCAGCTGTCATGTGAGGGTGCTTACACTCAACATACAGTAAGAACTTATTCCTGTTACTATACACAAGGTATGACATTAACATCAAATGACATTTTTATGTGCATACAGTTAAAGCTGTGCTTTGAAACTCTGAGCAGAGAATCTAATCTCTGTGGGACGGGCTTGAAAGCACCAATGAGGCACCGGCTATCATCTGCTCTTTCTCTTCTTACGCCCAAATCAGATTTCTATTCTGAGCCTCACCCAAGATTAATAGCCCGAGAGACATCAGATCCTGCGTCTCTGTAATTAGTGTCTGTGATCCCATAGAACTCAATAATAGCTTAACAGGTGAAAAGCATGATAGCCTACTTGCCAATGTTGGTAACGAAAGTACTGAAATGATCAGTGTCTCGGGGTATTTTACCAGGCCACACAATCTTGATTAAGAAGATTATCGTAAATTGTTTGTGTTTAATGTTTAATAAATACCAACTAAGAATGTTTTTTTTCCTTATAAATGTTTCATATTATAGAGAAATACTGATTTATCAAGCAAAAATGCCCACAAATTGCAGGAATCAGCCTCTCGATTGCAAGGAATTACTGCTTCTGTCTGTTTTCACTGGAAATTAATTGTCTTTGGGTTTTGGGCTATTTGTCAGAAGACACAAGGAATTTGAAGACTTTACCTTTGGGGGTCTAATAAGTCTTGATGGACATTTATTTAATACTTTTTATCAGTTGTTAAATTGATAATGACTTGGTGTGAAAGGGATATGGCTTGGGATGGTGTCACCGAATATAAGAACGTACAAGAGAAAAGTAGGTCATCCTGAAAGCTCCGAGTTTTAACCATGATCCACTCCTCCGTTTGCTTTTGTCTGGATAGTGACTGTTTCACAAGCTATTGTGTGACGTAACACACAACAGGGATAAAACTGAGCCACGATCAGCCCAGAGGAGACTGTCACACATTGTGTGAAATCCAAAGCACAAGGTGCATAGTTTGAACAGAGACTATTATGTGCTGCAACCAAACGACACAATGGAGATCATGGTTCTCCGTACTTCCTCTCTGGCGTGTTGGCTTCCATCCTATCACCGACTATAGTTCCTTACATCATTTCCTAAAAACGCTTGTGTGTTCATAAGAGAGCAAGCAGCCTGATAACAAAACATCTGATCTTGATTGATCCATAAATAGTTTTTACAAGTAAGTAGTGGTCGTGTCTTGAATAGAAGAAGAAATGTTTTGGCACATTCAACACAGTGATATTGACCCCCAAAAAAAGCATCTTCAAAAGATATAAACTCATATCAGGTATGATAGATCATCAGAGCGAGCCCTTTTGACCTCTGGATCGATGTGGTGATCCATTTGTGTACAAATTTTACATGTCAGTTGAGATTTTATCATAACTTGTCCACTTGTTGTCACGCTTGTCCAATGAAGGAAACTCAACGTTTAGACGCGGTGAAAAACAGTGTCACTGTGACGACCAGGGACCAAGGTGTGTACATTTGGTGTTTTAGCCACATGGCCCGCCTGACCTCCAAGAACTCCTCCATTCTTTGTTTGTGAGGGCAAGTTTTCATTGGCTCAATCCAAAAATACAAGACACTGGCTACTGAGTTAGAAAGTTTCAACTCGTGATGGTAGGCGAGTACAAAGTCAGTGTGTAGCACCACCGACTTTTGTAACAATGTCATGTGCAAATGATTGTTTAGTGGGCTAGCAATCAGCTTTGAATGCACCAAGGTAGCAACCATCATTACAATTGTTGTACAGTAGTTACACTGTACAGCACTTTACAAATAGTCCACTGCAGCAGCCACAATTCAGACAATATAAATCTTTCACCACTGAGTTCAACCTTTCCTAAATTTTTCCCAATTCCAAGAAAAAGAAAAGATTTAAGCTTCTTCAGTGTTCCTTCATATGCATCCATTTCATCCCGCCTCCTCTCACCTCAGCGATCATTGTACAAATTTGAGGAAATAACCATTTTGGCAGAGTGGTGGCTGTGTGCCACAGTCTAAACCCCTCTGGCATTTTCCCTGGCTGTCTCTGTTGATCTCTGCAGCATCGCTGATACTGAACTTTACATATCAGTGTCTGGCTTCTCCACCAGTTTCAGAGCCTCATGCATGCCAGCCGCTGACAGCTTCCGATTGATGTTCCGGTAGCGGCACCGCAGGAGGTTACTGTATGTGGTCCTCAGATCACGGTTGAAAAATGCATAAATAAAGGGATTAATCAGGGAGTTGGCGTATCCCAGCCACAACAGAGTTCTTTCCAGCCAGAGCGGCACGCAGCTGCACTCCACACCGCAGACGAATGGCCTGGCAGTGGACACCAAGAAGAATGGCAGCCAGCAGAAGGTAAAGGCGCCGACCACGATGCCCAGAGTGGCGGCAGCCTTCTGCTCCCGTTTGAAGATGGACTGGTTTTTCCTCTTCCGGCGTTGGTGGTGTTCACCGGTCTTGAGGAGGCGCGAGACACGCGTGCTGCACTCCTCCTCCACCTCACGCTGGAGCTTCAACGCCGCTGCCACGCAGTCCAAGCTCTCCTCCTCTTCCTCGGCTTCCTGCTCAGCCTCTGTCCCTTCAACACTTCCTGTTTCTCCTGATACCGCTGGCCGGTGGGCCTCTTGCCCTCTTCTTCCCCCTCGAGGAGCCGCGCGCGCACCGCGCTCCCCTTCCCTGGGGAAGCAGGTGATGTTGTGCTTGGCGGCGCTGAGTTTGGCCGCACGGTAGATGCGGTTGTACATGATCAACATCACTGACATGGGGATGTAGAACGCAACAGCTGTGGAGTAGACGGTGTAGCCGAAGTCCTGACTGATGAGGCAGACTCTGCCGTCATTGACATTCTGTGCCCAGCCGAAAAGAGGAGGGAGGGTGATGGAGGCTGAGAGGAGCCACACTGACAGCACCATCTTGGCCATGCAGCAGCCGGTTTGCCGGACAGGATACGTCAGGGGTTTTGTGATACCCAGATACCTACAGAGAAATATATGTCCAGATAAATGATTTCAAAAACAGGCAAACAAATTTCATCTGATTATTTTTTCCCATTTTTATCAGTTTTACTCCAACACAAAGGTATTTTCTTGCATTTTTTTTTTTACCCGTATGTGATGCACCATCCACCTTTAACAAGGTGCCATTGAGCAAGGTGCTTAACAGCAATCTGTTGTTGCCATATGCAGCCCCCAGGTTGGAAACTGTTCCAAGCTGCCGAGAAAGACCATGTGTGATCAGCAAACCTTTCAGTTTTAAATAAAGCTTATATGTCTACATGTCTGAGCCATGTGCCACTATTATACAGCTTAAAACAATACGTTTACATACTTGATTTAACCCACCAGCCCACAGCAGACATGCAGGTGTGTTAAAGAAACGAAGATAGGAATCATTTATTACAATAATTTTGACTTCAGATTTTTGCGCAGTTTTAGTAATTTACTGTGTATTGCTCCTGGATTTATTCAACTCCCACTTTGACCCTTTTTATTCGATTCAAATGGGGTGTTCAGATAACAGGAACCTGGTGCAGAGTGGACAACGAACCGAGCCAAAAATGTCACAGGTTTAATCCTTACCAATTTTGTCCAAGTGCCCTTGAGAAACACCCTCAGCCACAGTGAACCTCCGCGCTTTGAACTCCCTATGCAAACCCCACGTTTCAGGACTGAGCAACACATATATTTTTAGACTGGGTAAAGACATTTTTGTAAGAACATGGTGTGTGGGATTAAAGAAAATGTTTCTGCTTCTGACAAAATCTACCTGCGGAGAGTTTGGTTCCAAAACTGCGATGCGTAAAAGTTGAATAAATTAATGATATAAAATACGGGTAGCCTACTAATGAACAAAGTTTTTTACATCTGCCTCGTTGTCTTTTCTGCCTTGTCTGAATACTGATCAAGTCGCTTTATATAGTGTGATTGTTTGACATATCGTTTCCCTGCATTTAGAATACAAAACTTTACTCTATTAAAAAGCATAAAATAAGTTGTTCTCACCTATCAATGCTGATTACGCACAGACTCATGATGGACGCGGTGCAGCACATCACATCCATGGCGATGAAAACGTTACAGAAGAACTGTCCGAATATCCACTGACCACCAATTAGATCCGTGATACTGACGAACGGCATCACGGCCAGGGCCACTGACAGGTCCGCCACGGCAAGCGAAACGATCAGATAGTTGGACGGCTGGCGCAGCTTTTTGACAAAGCACACGGAGATGACCACCAGCAAGTTCCCGCAAATGGTGGACAGTGTGAGCATGGTGAGGATCCCGCCAATCAGGATTTTCTCGGCCCAGCCGTAGCTCAGGATCTGCTCGCCGCATCGGGTCCCGTTCGTCTCCATGACCTGCGGCTGACTGGTGGTGGATGGAGACGTCGTTGCTGCTGCCACTGCCGCTGCTGCTGCTGCTTCTGCAGCGCCTTGTGCAATCTTTAGCAGCCGGGGCGCAAGATCCTCCAAGATCATCATGTTGGTGGAGCTCCCGGGATCTCCGCCACCAAGTCTATCGTCTATCATGTACGACGACCTCATGTTGCCACTACCGACGGTTCCGTTACTCGCTCCCGCAACAACCATTCTGCTGCCTTCTGTTCCTTTTTATCCATTGACTTGGAGACCCGTCCGGTGGTGACATAGATGCGCACGGATGTGCCAGTGTTGGTGTGAGAAATTAGTAATTCCTTTCCACAGCCCCCGTCAGGGTAAACTACTCTGACATGCTCTCTTTCCCTCATAGAGCCTCAACGCCTTAATTCTTCTATTTAAATACATACTCGTCATTACGCACGTGGCACACTGCAGGCAAATTCCCCAAATACTTAACCTATAAAATACGATTTTCTTGTTGACCACTCTGCCAACCACGCTACTTGTCATCCTCATGTGTAGAAAGATATACACTTAAAAACTGCAGTGCGTGCCTATACATCTCACAGAAGTTGGCATGTGACGTCAAAAAACATGTTGGATAGCCTATAGGCTGCCGAGGAGCCAATCTAAAAAACGTGCAAAAAATGATCCACAATCTGTTTTGCCTTTTTGGAGTTCATTCTCCTGAATGTCTAGGACAAACTGTGTCCATGGATGAGCGTGCGTAATTGCGCAGAATTATTTGTATTTTGGTATCGTCTGTGTTTCTAAGCATTTCACCCTCTACACACACTCACGCGCGCGCACATAATCACACCCTACAGAGAAACAAACCTGAGATTACACAGAACGTGAATGGACAACAAATGATGGTGTGAAAGAGTGGGCTGTCGCCGGACATTTAAGAACATTGCTACTATTATACAACTAATCCATCCAAGAAAAGAGCATTCTGACATATTTTAGATGATAACACTATAATCTCATAGGGCTTTATGTTTTATTTGTTCCAGAGTTAACTTTTTTTTATCACTTTAAAGAGAAACGACACAGGATGATAAAGTTACTTTATCGTGAAGACAGGTTCAATCTTATTATTTGTTGGTTCTTATGTAACCAATGTGAGCTGAGGTGAAGTGATTTTCATTTTTGTTAGTTCAAGCGGAAGCATTAAATTATAAGTGTTAGACAAGAGGTGCATTCTACCTTCATCTCACTTCTGAAACTTATGAAATGTGTGTTGCTGGAGGTGAGAGCAGGAACCCAAACTGCTCCCCAAGCCTTTTCATCATTTTTCAATCTGAGCCCAATTATTGTACTATAACCTCATACGTGGGTATGATACTAATGCTGCGGATAGACACGGATAGTAGCGGCATCAAGCGGTCATAAGGCGCTACTGCATGTTGTTGCTGCTGGCTATTTCTACACTATAGTACAGGAATTGGTTTTTTTTCTCAGTATGATATCATGTGTTTGTATATTAACGTACAATTTTAGTTTTTAAAATTGTACAATGTAATGTATTTGCATTTCTCTTATGATGCCAAATGACCTTTAAACATGACTTATCTTTGAGAAATGTGGTTCTCAGTCTGGGATTCGGCACCTTGTAGAGGACATCGAGGAGTTGCACGGGGCCCCAGGAAAATATGGTTAAATTTCACTTTATTTTGATCAACTGGAAGTTGTTTCTTCAAGGCGACCCTCTAGCTTCACCCTAAATGAATGGTTTCAAGCCTTTTTGGCTTGTGCACCCTCACAATAAAGCAATATCTACATATCACCCCTTTATTGAAATTAAAGTTACTCAGATTGTTTAATTTGAAGGATAAAGGTGTAGTTTAGACTGAAGTATCATGTTATTATAACAGGACAACGTGAGGTCATAAAGTTTAAGATATAGTCTGTGACACAACAACGTATGAGAGATCCTGTCTCGTAAAAGTGAAATCTATGTTCATTGATGAGTTTAACAGGTGATATTGTTGCTTTTGCCCTACAAAGTCACATTTAATCATGGTCGCAACAAAAATAGTGCTTTATGCAAACAAGACACTTCATTAAACAGGTCAAAGTTTTTGAAAGGACGTCTAACTTCAAACCTCTATTTCGACCCACAGCATCAGCACATGTATGCAGTGTAAACCACCAAAGGCTACAGATTCACCTGAGGTCGGTGCTCCTGCTGATTTGACACCATACTATAACCCTTATTTATGCAGCTCCGTTTCATTTCCTGAGCAATGGACACAAATCCCTGCATATATACCAATTTGCTGTCAAAGCATCAAAAACTGCTCACATCAGCTCAATTTCATGAACAAGACGACAATAATTATGGTATTATTTGAGCAACATGATGAATTGGTGTATTAGGAGCGGGTCACCAAACCTCCAGCTTTGTGGAAACTTTAGCCCTGACCTTGAGCGCTCTCCTGGTGTTATTATTTTTTAGTACAGTCAGCAACTTTAAAATAGTTTGCTGATAGTTTTTGACAGTGTTTGCTCTGAAACGGAGGCCGATGAGTCAAAAAGTCCCCGTTGGGAAATTGCAAACTTTGGAACAAACACTTATGGCCCTGACAAACCCATCCAACACCTCTTGGATGGACTGAGGTAATGTGTTCATATGGAGGTTATCGATCTCAAGTTTCTCTATCTGTGGCTTGCAGACAGGAAAAGAAGCAGACTCATAAGACAACACAAATCACCAAATTTAGGATATCATAAAGCATATGTTGAGAGGTTATCAACAGTTCACCTTATACCCAAAAGAATGGATGAATGAGGGTGCAGTTCTTTTTTAAAAATCATGGTTGGACAACTGCGTGAAAACCTGCCAGTGTTACAGTCATGTTCATCGCTCTCAACTCTTTGAATCAGTTTATTATTTGACTGTATTTTATGCAGTTTTTCGGCACCTGGGATTTAATATAATTACTTTTTAAAACCCGTTCACCACCTATCAACTGTGAATAGTGCATTCATTTTATCATCTTTTTTGTTTTGTTTTATTTCCCCAGTCCACGATCCTGATAGCAAGTCTACCCAATGAATATATGAATAAATGAATACGTAAATGACTGAATATCAATCACCCAAACCCACCTCTTGCACAGCTACAACTTGTTTTCCAATCACATGAACTGTATTTATGAAGGTCATGTTTTTGTTTCTTTGATATTCATCTTGTTGCTATGGCATTTCTCTGCCGGCTGTTCTGATTGACAAACAAAACTTGTGCTTGGACGCAAACCATTGGCAGCATAGACTATATCCTTTGTACTGGTCACTTCCGCTCATGCTAGGGGAAAGTGGGGGGGTCATTGTAACCATTTTTGGGTTTTGACGCCATCAAATTTTGGTGGGGCCACACAATATTCATACAAGAAAATTTGATGATGCGATCCAAACATACCATAGATATATACCATTGAACCATACTCACTATATTGTGCGCGATCGAGAGAGGGGAGACACGATTGCTGTGACCAATGTTTCACCAACAGCAGAGATGACAGAATTCCAGATGAATAATGCCATTTAAAATCCCCCAATGAAGATCTGACGACATATCTTACCATACAAACGTATAGCACCACCAAAGGACAATGTTAAAGAGCTCTCAACATCAAATAACCTACTCATGACCACCAACGAAAGGTGCATTTGTCATCTGTTGAGCAACATTATCCTTGTAAACATTGTACATGCAATCCAACAGTTCGTTTGGTGTGTGAGTGAGTGTGTGAGTGAGAGTGTGAGTGAGTCAGTGTGTGAGTGTGTGAGAGAGTGAGTGAGTGAGTCAGTGTGTGGAGTGAGTGAGTGAATGATTCAAAATCCAATGTATAAGGCCACAATAAGTGTCAGGAGAGATGAGGACACCCAACACTTCTCCAGTGGTTCGATAACAAGAGGATCAGGTAGGTGGGTTTTCATCAGTATAGTTCACTGCAATGTTCAAAAAGTCAGAAACTATTTTCTTTCAACCAGAGTTCCTACATGAAACTGCTCACAACAAGGTCTGTGGAGTATCTTGAGTAACCAGGTTATGATTTCTGGAAAAAAAAAAAAAAAAACTGTGCTGTGGAGTTTTTCAAATGTATTTATTTGAAACTCGGAGGAACAATAGTAGTCCAGAAGATGGCAGTAATGCAGCAGTAAAGATATGAGCTGCTGTAAAGCTCAGTAAGGAAGAAGAGTAGTCTTCTTCTTCTTCTACTTGCAGCTGTTTCTCTACATCAGACCTTGATGTCTAGTCCACTGCAGTTTCCTCTTCGTTGATTTTTAAAGACATATTCATTGAAAATGGCAGAAGATCTGCGGTCCGAGCTGGAGAAATACCTGCAGAGTTTAAACATCCAGACGACGTGCGTGGAGCACCCGCCGGTAAAAACGGAAACCACAAAAACAGCTCCGGTTTTCTGTTAACTCAGCTAACGTCAACGGAGTCTACACTTTCAAATCACAAACTATATCGCGACTCTTTCAAAGCAAAATAACTTTTATGAAATACGTCATTGAAGCTGGCAGAGGAATACAATGCTGGAAGACTATTGAGTCTATTAGAATACTAAACATTTCTACGTTTTCTTTACTTTGCCTTCTCTAAAATCGTTAACACCTTAATGCATATGTGGACGCACTGCATGAATCATTAGGAATTCACACTTCTAATCGAAGTTATCCAATACACGAAGTTGTACTTACTGTAGTATACTTTTAGCGTTGGGAATGGGCTTGTGTTCTCTACAACATTGATGTTAACTTGGTAATGGACACGGAAATCATTTTCAGATCGATGTCTACAGATTTTGTAACACGTTTCTGCTCAAGAACTTGGTGTGACCTGCAGGGGGCGCGAAATGATCACTTTTGTCGCACACCTTTACGCGTAGCGTCATTCAGCTTCATACTGAGGCCCTCCACACAGGTAGTTTATTTGTCCTGCAGCAAAAGACTGTGTGCGATGTCAGTTCTTCTAAAATGATTTGTAGATTCAGCAGATATCAAACCTCAATGTCTCTTCAGAAAAACAGAAATGTTTTCCCTCGCCCCCCCCCTGCAGGTGTTCACCGTGGAGGAGATGATGCCTCACCTTCAGGACGTGGGTGGAGCCGTCACCAAGAACCTCTTCCTGAAGGACAAGAAGAAGAAAGGCCTGTGGCTGGTATCGGCTCGCCACGACCGCCAGGTCAGCTCACATCTGTACATTCACCCTCACATCCGTCTGAACCTCTGAGCGGTCGTGTTTCTCTGCTGCGTCCCGAATGCACCGTCCCATAATCCTCTCTGTTCCCTCTGCAGGTGAACCTCAACGACCTCGCCAAGAAGCTCGGCGTCGGCAGCGGCAACCTGCGCTTCGCAGACGAGGCGGCCATGTTGGAGAAACTCAAGGTGACATCAAAACAAATCAGCTCAGAGTCAAATGAGACGGAGATTATACATTTAACTTGAATAGCAATGAAAATGTTCATGTATAGTGTTTGTGATGTTTATCAGTCTGTAAGTGACAATTATTTTTTTAACTTTAGCCAGCCGTGACAGCTGCTATTACCATCACAAATACTGTCCATACATTTATTATGCTATTACAGACTGGTCTGGTTTCCAGTCACTGATTAAGACAGCTTTCTTTGCAGTCTGACTTCTACTTTCTTTGGTAATTTCCCTCCGTCCGTCTCCTCTCAGGTGGGTCAGGGCTGTGCGACGGCTCTCGCTCTGCTCTTCGACAAGGACCAGAGTGTGAAGTTCGTCCTCGACCGGGACCTGGTGGAGGGAGGCCACGAGATGGTCAACTTCCACCCCATGACCAACGCCGCCACCATGGGGCTCCGACCGGACGACCTGCTGCGCTTCCTCAAGGAAACGGGACATGAACCCGTCCTGGAGAGCTTTGAGTAGGACCTGAGCAGCCTGCAGGGATTAAACTGGCACATGAAAATAACCTTTATTCTGCTTCAAAGATTTAAAAAAAAGGATAACAAATAATCAAATTAGGGCTGTCATCTGATTAATATGTGTATTATTAACGTGATTATCACGGTTATCGTCAATACTGGTATATTGCAACACCACGAGAACATGAAAAAAAGCTTGTAACTTTAATTTAGTGACACGTGAATTCAAATAGAGCATGAACATGAAGGTAACATTTTTAAAGCTCTGCCAAAGCTCTTTGTTATTTTTATAGAATTGGCAAAAAGTAAAGATTTATTTAAAGACTATTAGTTGAAGACATTGACTATTGGTTTTTGAATGTCTCTCTGTTACTTTGTGAAGCTCAAGTCTGTTTGTTAAAGGAGCAGACTGTTGTTTTCCATGTTTAAGCTCAGTAAAGAATATGCTGTCGTTTTCAAATCAGTTTTACATTCATGCTGTCTCCTTTTGTGAAAAGCAACTTCCAGAGACTCTTGGCAAAATAAATGTTTCATCAAGTTTATCTGCTGATGTAGTTATAAACAGGGACTCTTATTGATAATGTGCCATAACTCCTGTTGATATTCCATGTTGTGGCCGTAAGGGACACTAGAGGGCGCTATATACACAGTGGGGAGGAATGTACCACTCGCATATAACGCACCGTGTTTATGAGCTCTGACTAATGGATCTATTAATGGTTAATAAATCATTGAATCATGATTTATAGACAGTTATGTGCCATTAATAACAACTTTGGAGTTCCCTAATGCAACAACGTTTTACTGTGCAATGAATATTTTATCTTATACTTTCAGTACATTTAGTTGAAAATACAAACCTTTACTTAAGGTTTTGAATGCAGGACGTTTACTTGCAGTGGAGTATTCTCACGTCATTGGCCTGTAAGTACTTTTACTTAAATAAAGGGTCTTAACAGCCTTCTTCCAACAATGAGTAGAAGTATGAAGTTGCATACAATGTATTGAATAGAAGTACCTTGAATTTGCACTTAAGTAAAGTGGTGTACTTGAGTGACTGTACTAGTGATATTGCACCTTTTCTACTACATAACATAATGTAGTCCAAGCTACAACACCATCTTAAAAAACAAAAGAAAATCTCGGTGGACCAAAGGTGCGTCGTCATTCCTGTGCTTTAATTTTGAAAGGACTACCGGACGTGCTCGGTGTTTGTTGACAGCAACTTGATCGGTCCTTCAGTCCTCACTCAGCAGTCCCTCAGAGTCTGAAGGTAAGCAGCTGGCTACTGGGGGGTGACGCAGCATTAGTGTTTATCGGACTGTTCACTCTTTAACCCGCACCTGCTGCGCATTTTCTTTGTGCATGCGTGCGTGCACGAGTGTGTGCGTGTGTTTGTGCGTGTTGCTACTACCTGCGTGCACAGTGACGCTACACGTGCACATCGCATCCATCCATCTTCCTGCTGGTGTGAAACAGATGCTACTGGTTTAAAGCTGCAGGCAGACAGGCTTTTCTCTGTGGATGTCTCAATGTATGTGTGCCCGCGCGTGTGTGTGTGTGCGTGCGTCTGGGGGGGGGGTGGTGTATGTGCATGCGTGTGGGGGTCATGTGTGGGTGTGTGTCGTATTTCCTGTCAGAATGCTTGTGTTTGCTGTTGTTTTCTGACTTCAGCTAAAAGTGCTAGCATTTTTGCCTCTTCACTGTTTTCTTAATGTAAAATATTTGTGTTATGAAAGTTTCTGAATTATTACATATTTTATATAAACATTTAGAAATGTGGACAGGAATCAAACTTTAGGGTTAAACTAAAGTTAAGAAACTAAAACTAAACTTAAAAAAAATGTCATGATTTACCATGTATTAATATTATATCAAATTGTATGTATCAAATATATATATATATATATATATATATATTTTTTTTTTTATACTTTATTTATTTAAAAAAAATGTAATTGTAGATATAGTAATAATAATCTATTTGTAGATTCAAAATAAAAATGATTTGATTGTAAGAATATAGTTATAACCTGAAATTTGTAGTATCTGTACTGAGTACTTTTCACCCTGATTAGGTGCGTGTGTTTGGTTGTGTGTGTGTGTTTAATTAAAACTTAACTTATTTAATACATCAAGCTCACTTCAGTAGTCATAAGGAGCAGAGGTTCTGGATTAATTTAACTTTCTCTTTAGGGCTGACTGACATACACTCTGATGATGTCATAGTTGTGTCCCCTCAGCCTGAGCATAGAGACGTTACAAACTGATGCTGTGTTGTTTGAAAGACGGCGCTGTTTACCAATCAGGGAGGCTGTAATGAAAGACACTATCCAGTTGCCATATGGGTATTGTAGGAGCCAGTGTTTTAGATGATCATAGTCAGGACGTCTCCACCTCTGCGGCAAAGATTTAGACTATTCTTCCTTTTCATACTGAATCACTGGAGGACCATTTAAAGGAATCAAATTGATTCAATTTGAAGTTAATATCAGTGGCTTCAGAACAAAAGTGACTCATAAACACAAACTGTGTGTGTGTGTGTGAGGCTCTCTCTCTCTCTCTCTCTCTCTCTCTCTCTCTCTCTCTCTCTCTCTGCATTCCTAATGAGAGTGTGTATTGTTGCATTGTTGTGTAAAATTAGCAAATGAATAAAACCTCACATACTGACACTCAGTTCCCACGCTGAGGTTGTGGGTGTGTTGGTTTGTGTGTGTGTGTGTGTTTGCCCCCCCTCTTTAAAATACATTTGTTGTGAAGATTCTGTGTGGGAGAATGTATACATTAGCTGCCACTGTGCCACTGAGCAATTCACGTTTAAACATATGTATTACATGAAAAAAATCAGTACTGCTAAGAAAGGATCAATCCTGATTTATCCTCAGAGTGGAAATGAAGTTGTTGCAGGATCACAAGAACAGAAATAAGTAAAGATAAATAGAGAAAGTAAAAAGAAAAGAATAAGAAGAAGCTAAAATAGAATAGGAGTAAAAATAGAAACAAGGGCAATTAAAGACAAAGTTACAAGGTCAAATTACAGTAATGTGGTTATATTAGTAGTATAATAGTATATTTGTAAACAAGAATCATAAATATAAAATAGAAATTTACAGTAAAAATATGTAAAATATTAATGTTTTAAAAATGATAAGAGCTGTACAGTGTTTAAAAGGAAGAGGAACTTAAGAATATCCAAATATTCACAGTATGATGAATATGTGAAATGTGTGAAAATAATAATTATAATACTTCAGATAGAAGAGAATTACACAATTTTAATGTGTGTGTAACGTTATCAGGAAAATTAACTTAAAGTATTGAAGTAAAAGTACTGAAGATGCAACCGAAACAGGTTCCATCATATTATGACTTTAAATTATTATTGTCGTTGATGCAGTAACATATAAGATGCATTCTGATACATAGAGGAGCTTATTATGAAGAAATTGTTTATTTCTCACTTTCTACACAGTTGGTGGTTTGATTCACTGAATAATGATGTGTTGTGTTTTATATGTTCAATATAGTTTTATTTTAAATCCTCGTCTGCATATTAAAGACAGGTACCTGATAGAAGTAGCAGTATAAAGTACAGGTACCTCAACATTGTATTTAAGTACTCTCTCTCTCTGTGGTCTCTCGACTATTACTGTCTGTCGGCCGTGGTCCTGAGCTGCTGCTCTATCGCCGTGGCGACAGAGAGCAGCCTGGTCGCCATGGGAGACGAGACAGAAATAAGTGTGTGTCATTACGTGTGTGTGTGTGTGTGTTTTCATCTCCCACATATAATTACAATGACACAGAACCCAAAGTTAAAGTGCTGCTGTCACACACATATAACTGAGACTGTGTGTGTGTGTGTGTGTGCATGTGTGTATATGTGTGTGTGTGTTAAGCTGCCTAGACCATCATGACGTAATTGTTTTTCTGCTGTTTTTTAGTTTTCTGCCTCGTCACAACTGAAGAGTCTTCACAAAACACTAAAGGGTGGTGTGAGTAAAACAATACTGATAACAGTAGTACTAGCTGTACTGTAGTACTAGCTGGTGTACTAGCTTCAGTACTGGGCAGTATGGCTCCTGTAGTAGTAGTACTGTAGCACTTTCTGCAGTTTTAGTAATACAATGTTTTAGACACACATAACAAAAGCAGCCGACTTCGACTACATGAGGCCCTTAAAACCTCTTAATGCAGGACTTTTGCATTGTGATATTTGTACTTTCATTCAGATCTGAGTACATTTTTTAAATTGTTACTTTTGCACATGGGAACTACTGCATGCTTGATGGACTAGTTGGACATTTTAGGGAAATGCAGTTAGCTTAGTTTAGCACAAAGACTGGAAACAGGGGGAAACAGGTAGCAGCTAGATGTATAAGGTGTGAATCAGGGAGCTTTAGAGGAGCCGGTAGGTGGATTATTTTATTATTGTTGGACAGAGGCTAGCTCCTTTAATTACCCCATGATCTTTTCTCTACTGCCACCCTCAGGACACACATTGCATACGTAGCTGCACTATGGAAGGTAGTCAGACATTAACTGCGGTTGTTTTTGTTCCTCTCCCTGCCGGCGTTTCATCTCCAATATGAAATTACCCAGAATATAATCCTTCTCTGTTTTCTGCATTTGCATATTTCATTAATTGGTTGGTTCATCCTGTGTGTGTTTACAGCCCCAGCAGGGTTTCTAGAAATAATAACGTGGATCACATTTAGCTCCCGGAAACACGCAGTCTCATTAGATACAGACAACTCTGCAGGAAAAAAAAGAAGTGTTGTCTTGATGTGACGCTCAGATCAGACCAGCACCCTGAGGTGGGAGGGGGAATTCAGATGGCACTACATGTTGCTGCTTAATTTGTTTGAAAATTCATTATTAGTTGTAAATATTGCAGGTGCCTACTTTAATGTGTCCAGCTGTGATTGGATGAAAACTTGAAATAGGACATCGCATTGGAGCACAAGGACCCGCAGCTGTAACCATCATGTATTACGTGTGACAAATTATCCCTCACACACACACACACACTCACACAGAGTAAATGAGGTGGAGGCCTCCTGTGGTGAAGTGTCTGATGTGCTTTAATGGGACTCTGCGATGAATGTTGGCCTGTTGGTTCAATTCCAGCCAAAATGTATTTTCCTGTCTAAAACCCAAACATGTTCAGTATATAATAATGATATATAATATATCAGGTTTTATTGTATAATTTGTAGTCTGTCCGTGTTTTCACGCATCTTTAAAAAACCTGTCTGGCTGACGCTTCCCCTTTAAGAGATCCAGGAAGTGCAGGGGAGCAAGGGGGCGGTGGCTGAGGGGAGGGGCTTATTGAAGAAACAGGTGTGTGTGCTGACAGGGATGATGTCATTCTCTTGCTGAGTCACCTGGGAGACGGCTGCTGAGCTTAGTGTGGACAGAGAGAGATAGAGGGATAGAGGAGGAGGAGGCAAAGGGCTGCCTTCATCACTCCTGCTTTTCTCCCTGAGGAGGTGTCGGTGTGAGGAAGCAGGTCCAGCAGAGGAGGAGGAGGAGGAGAAGGAGAAGGAGGAGGAAGAGGAGGTATTTGAATACTGCTGTCAAGGTGAGAGAGCGATAATAGGAATGAATGAGAGAGCGAGAGAGAGAGAGACATTTACTCTTTTATCCCCTCTGTGGCTGAACCATCTCACCAAACTCCATTCTAAAACGGGCTCATTCTAACTCCTCGCTTGTGGTATTTGATTTAAGACCTCAACTCTGTAAAGGACCATGCTGCTGTTTTTGCATGCTTCAGCTCGGTACACTACATGGTCATACGTATGTGGACACCCCTTGTCCACTCACCTGCGTATACTATTGGTGTGTTTTTTTTTTATGGTTTGGTCAAGGCCCTTACGTTCAAATGAAGGGGAATTATGCTACAGCATATAATGATAATTGAAACAATAGTGAGCTTTTAGGCTCAAACAATTAGGTGATTAAGTCGATCAACCTTTATTTCTTCTTTAGTTTTTTCTAAGACTGAGAAGTTCAGATGGAGATCCAGCTCATGTTCGTATGTTAAGTCTGTGTCTATAAGCGGAGTAAACTTGCTGCTGTGACCCTGTGACTCTGAACATCTGTTGCGTTTCCTCCCAAACTGCACGGTTGTGTTTTCGTGCGTCTAACAGGAAGATGTTTTCTTTAAATTGATCGTGATATGTGTGCCGGCTCTGGTGAGGACTGAGGAGGAGGAGGAGGAGGAACAGACAGTCGTACAACAAGCCGTCTGCCTCAGAGCCCAGTCTGTAATTATTCCAGCTGCACTTTGGTTTAGTGGTCAGTTTGGCTTTGATTCATCTTCACTCCCTGTTTTTGGGGTTGCTGTAACTCTGTGAATGAACGCTCTGCTCGTTTGTGCTTTTTGTGGGAAACTGTATTCATACTGGATTATTTAAAACAGTTCCCTGCTCTTCTCTTGCTCATGACTTGTTGCTCTGACCTCCTGACCTTTAACCATCGCTATCTGTTAAGTGGCTGCCAGGCAGGTAGCGGGGGGGAGGGACCGTTAGCTTAGCTCGACCAGGAAAGGAACAAGCCTGAATTTGCAACAGCTGCAAACACATTCGTGCATGCATCCGTGCGTTCATGCGTTCACAAACACTTGACCTTCATGCCAACTTTCAGTCTGCTAGGGTAAAAAACGTGGCTGCCAATGGGAGGGACATTTTTCTGTGGATCGTCCGATAGAGCTGGTCGAAGCTAAAAATCCACCTTAGTTGATGGTAGAGTTACATTGTAACTCTACCATCAACTAAGGTACAAGAAGACTTGTAGGTTGTAGCTCTGTTGTAACTGTTACAACAGAGCTACAACCTACAAGTCTTCTACGAGTTCAGGGCCTGCAGTCACTAACATCGTCAGGCTCATAACGTGTTAGTCAACTAGAACTTTGAGACTCCTCATCTTAGATAGAAGAGTAATTCACAAAGTATTTCAGCTCAAGAAGTGTCTCCTTAGTCTGATAGAAGTTAGAAGAATTCAGTCAAACAGTTTGCACTCGGCTACTTTGGACTCTGGAGAACTACAGATCTCAGCTGTCAGACAGAATTATTCATCAATCCATCAAACCACATGTTTGTTCAACAATTCATGAAGTCCATATTTAATGTTCACCAACTGCAATAAATACATAAATAAGGCCGATTCCGTGACGATTATCCAGTGAAATCACTGCTATATGTAGAATTATCACATCATAATCTGAGGGTTAAATATATCAGATGCTGATGGTATTTGATGCCAGATACAATCCACTGAACAACTCAATATTTTACTTTGTTTCATCTGTGAAATCTGATCTGCGCATTATGGCATATCTTAAATTATCTTTTATGAATTCCATCCATCCAGACTCAGTTTCAAGGAGACAACAAATATGTTTGAAAGCTTTGGCAGCGTTTTAGGAGAGTTCACGAAAACATGTCTCGCCAACTGGATGGTTTTAGTCTCACATCTGAGAAACAGGCTAATCGTGGCATAAGCCTCACGCTCTGCACAGCTTTTAGCTGTAAATATGTCCTAATTTGTCACTTGTCTATTTGTCCCTTGTAAAACAACAAGAGATGCATAAAAATGCTAAGTAGTCATTCTAAAGTTGTAAAGGTGTCAGTGTGTGACAGACAAATAGCAGAGAGAACACAGGTGACAAATTGTCTGTACACCCACACATGCACACACAGCCTGGGGCCATTGTGTGTATGTGTGTGTGCGCGCGTGTGTGTGGTACCATCATATGACTGGGAGAGTAAACAGTAGATGTCATACAGGGGAATAGGAGGGTGATGTCATGCAGGAAGTGGACATAGTGAAATAAAAGCACACACTCACACACACACTGTAACTGTAGCATATGCATGGTGTCACATGACAGTCCGTTTAGTGTTCAGCTGCTTCAACCAGAAAGTTTTTGTTTTTTTAATGAAGCCTTTTTCATTGATTTGTGTAATCCTGCCCTTATTGTAAAAAGGTCACATGTGATATTAAATGTGAAGTTGCTTTTTGAATGCAACACAAATGTCCTAAAGAAGACTAAACATTTACTTAGTTGGCTCTTTACCTCAAGCTTACTTTGTTATCTGGGTGAAGTACCTGTTAGCACATCAGAGTCAACACTATGGAGAGAAATGTTAAATGTGTTTGAACATCAGCTAGCTTCCATATTGTTAGCCATGTTGGTGGCGTGGGTCTCTAGGGACTGCTTTGGTTCAATAACTATTTGTCGACAGGCATTCATGTTCCCCAGAGGATGAATCCTACTGACTTCATTGATCCTCTGAGTTTTCCTCTTGCGCCACCACAAGGTTCAACTTTGTGGATCTACTATTGGATGGATTGTGATGATATCAGACTCAGCTGTACCTTGTGTTAATCAGTGATGATGATTGAACTGTACAGAAATGACTTTAGTATTTCTCCACTGTGATACTACTTTTACTTGAGTAAAATATCTGAATACTTCTTTCACCACAGGATCTTGTTTAAGATAATAACTTGTGCACATAAATTATTATTGTGTGCGTACGATTTCATATAAATATAATCTTTCAGGACTTTGAGGGCAACACAATTTAACACTCTTCACTCAAACTCTGCAAAGTGAGTACTTTTACTTTTGATACTTTAAGTACATTTTGCTAATAATACTTCTGTACTTTTACTAAAATAGAATTTTGAATGCAGGACATTGACATTGTTACTTTTACTTGAGTAAGGATCTGAGCACATGTACCCCTACTAACTTTGAAACTACTTTATGTGCAATGACTTCATGAAAAGTATCAGAAGTATGCATGATAATATCATCATCATCATCATCATCATCATCGTCATCATCATCATCATCATCATCAGTATGGTTTATTGTTTGAAACAATCTTTGAAAACTCAGCGGGAGTAAACTGGTTCATACAGGATGCCCCCCCCTCCAGTAAACACACACACACACACACGCACACACACTAATGAGCAGGAAGCTGCAGCAGGTCAGCACCGTTTCCCTCTCGTCTGTTTTGGGCTTCAGAGTCTTTGTATTCAAATCACAGCATCTTTTTGTCTGCGAGCTGGATGAGACAAGCCTTCGCTCTCACTTCACTGAGCTCTTTGTTCCTCATCATAGAAGCAGTGAGAGGGACAGTAACCATCAAACACAACACTGTGAGAAGATGGAAATGACTCATTGTTGTGTTTGGAAACACGTTGTGATAGCACAAACTGTTCATCGTCACAAAAACAACCTCACACAGTCATCAGGTTATTATTGGAGAATGAATTAAAACTTGTTTATCTTCCTATCAAAGTACCTGAAATAACGTTAAAAGTAAAGGTAATACATGTACTTTTTGTTTATGTGCAGGTTAACAATAAACACATTCATTTATGTTCATATATATATATTATAAAACTCACCAGGTTGACTGAAAAATGATTTGCTTGTTTGCATAATAGGATGGAGTATTGGTGGAAAAGGGAAAAAAGATCTGAGATGAAAGTTGAAATACTGTAAGAAAAAGGTTGCAATGTTGTGAGAGTAAATTTCAATTTAAAAAAAAGTCATATCACAAGTTAAAGTGTTAATTTAAAAGGAAAATTGTGATATTTCAAAAATAAAGTCATAATATGATGAAAGTAAAGTTGTGTTTTTACCATAATAAAGTCATATACCCAAAAGATAATTAAGATATACTTCAATAACCTGTAGTCTGTCAACTAAAACATGCACATAGTCTAATTTAATCATAACATGTAGCATTTCTCTTAATTGTGCTTTATTTTAATAGCTATTTTCTCATAAGATTACAAGTTTATCCTGTAATATTAAAATAACGTCAAAATATTACGAAATATTGTGGAAGGTATTTTATCAGCACTGTGTGTTGTATGAACTTTTGTCTTTATACTTGGATTATAGCTTTAAGACATTTACTCAAGTACAGTACTGAAGTATGAGTTTCAGATACTTTACTGAATGCTACCTCTCCGGACTGTAATTCTTAAGTGTGGAAGTGTTGTTTACTTGAATACAAGTAGCTCATGAGTAAATAAAACCTGTTGTTGCATCTTTTCTCTTCTGCTTCACCACGGTGATTCAACAGCTCACATTGCTCTTTCAATATAAAAGTGTGACATATTTCCTCAATATCAACTTGTGGAACTTTCTGCTTTAATGCAACATTTTCCTTGTCTGTGGCGGCTGTTTTCTTGCTCATCACTGTTGTCCTTGTGCTGTGACCTCTGACCTTCTTTCTAGCGCCACCCTCATGATAAACTTCACACAGATGTTTTCAGGTGTTTCCAATGAGCTCTGTTGACTTTACCAGATAACATCTGTTTACACAGATCTGCTCCCATAAACATCCACGGCGATAAACGTCATCGCATCACACTGCAGTGGAACTTCTCACTGGGGGGCGGGGGGGGGGGGTTGAAAACGGGCCAGACCTTTTCCTCTTCTGGAAACTGAGAGCTGCTGCTGTGCTTTCAATTTGAAAACATTATCAGGTGACATTACAGTCAATTGAGCAATTTCACCTCCATTCAGTGCAGGTTTCATTCAGTAGTGAA